GCAGCAAACACCTGACTCGACGCAGCTACCTGGCCAGACTCAGCAGCCGGAGGTGACTCGGTAGTAAGGGTGTACAGGCTCGACCCTGGCCCACGGGTGAACGTGGCCAAGTGTCGGCCTGTCCGAGCACACGTGCAGTGGGTCACTCGCTGACTCGCAGGAGTGAACTGGTCAACCCCCCTATCCTGTAGGTCCGCTCCACTCACCAAGTTCGTAGAGAACGAGGGAAGGTAGACACCTGACAAGGTGCTAGAGGGGGCTGCCGCGCACGGTAAGACAGTGGAGAAGCTAGCAAGGACAGGATCCCCAGAGGGGTCCGCCAGGGAGACTGCAACCGGCCGACTGAGCGGCGTAAGAGTGGTGCGGTCTCGAAATTTGGAACGGGACGCACCCGAGTCAAGGGTGAAGGTGTGGAAGGCCTGAGCCGACGTACTACCTGATAGAGCAGACTCACCAGCACCTGGGGCAGAAGACGCACTCGCACCTGGGGCAGCAGACGCACTAGCACCTGGGGCAGCAGACGCACTGGCACCTGGGGCAGCAGACGCACTAGCACCTAGAGCAGCAGCTTCACCAGCACCTAGAGCAGTGGCCTCAATGCCCGGGTCAGGCGGTACACACAGGTAACAGTCACCCTCAACACTAGTAGTCACAGAATACATGGCAGCAAGGATAGCATCATAGTCAAGATCAAAGATGGCAACCCCCGCCCTAGACAGATCTCCCCAGCGAGGGATCTCTTACGCCTCAGGGAACTGGCGACGCCACGCGTCCGTCAGGTGACCGAAGCAGCGCTGGGTGGAGTGCGGGCCCCCGCACTGCTCACCAGCTCGGTCTCTGGTACGGAGGACGTAAGTGCAGGGACCAAAACCCCCACCGCGCTGACGTGCAGTGTACCACTCACGAAGCTGCTGAGGGGACAGGGTCACACCACTTCGCTGCTGCTGGCGCGGACCACCACCTGAGCCACTCCTCTGCGCAGAGTCGCGACCCGCTCCACCACCGCCGCCGCCTCCGCCGCCTCCTCCTCCTCCGCCACCTCCGCCGCCTCCGCTCCCTCCGCCACCACCGCTGCCTCCGCCGCCTCCACTGCTGCCGCCGCCGCCGCCACCCCCGGCACCACTCCCACCACCACCCCCACTCCCTCCACTGCCTCCAATACCACCTCCACCGCCCCCGCCAGCCCCTCAAGCGCCCTTGCCCCCCTTGCCCTTGCCGGTGCGGCGTCTCCCGCTCAGGGCAGACGCAGCGCCGACCGACTCGAAACCAACGAGGTCGGCCGCAGCAGCAGAGGCAACAGAGGGCAAGAGGGGGGAGGGAGAACACCCCTCAAAGACGGGGGTGCGAGGGTCACCACGAGAGGCTCCTACAGCAACTATACTCTTCTCTGCTGCTAGGAGGGCCTTCTCGAGGAGGTCAACGGTGAGAGTGGTGGGGCAAACTAAGAGGAAGTGGTCCCTGACTCGCGGAGAGAGTCAGGGAGCCGGTTGACTATGTAGTAGAGGGTGATGTACATTGGGGGGGGGGGGGGTTCTTGGCGCAGAAGTCAGCAGGAAGCGCAGCGCGGTAGCGAGTGTCACTAGTGCGGAGGTGCGTAATGAGGTCAGCGAATGTGGGAAAGGCAGCAAGGTCATGGAAGAGGTACGGTAGCATGAGGCGGCTCAGTGCAGCAATAGCAGGGGAAGAGTAGCGTGCAACTACAGCGTCGTACAAGGTCTGAGCACTCTTGTACTGGCTAAAGTGTGCACGCTCAGTGGTCGGTAAGTGGCGGCGCACAGCACGGCGAGCAGCAGCATCGCGCGTGGCCCACTGTGAGCAAACAGTGACGTCAGCATCAGCAGCAGGGGCAGGAGAGGCACCAGAAGTGAGGTCAAAGAGGAAGAGACCGTCTGCCCTATCCCACTGTAGGAAAAGCTGCAGATCATCTACCCAGACCTCAAAGTCAACTGCCCGACCCTCAGTGTCAAAAGTGAGAACACTAGGGGAGGCCATGACAGCAGTAGACAGGCAGTGAGTACAGTGGGGCAGGGCAGTGCAGTGGCAGAGGCGCTGCTCTTACCAGGCAAGTGGGGCGGTCTCGGGCAGGCCGACAGGCGGAATCGCCTCGGCTGCGGTGCGGCTCGGCGGCTCGGCTGCTCGGCGGCTCGGCGGTTGGGCGGCTCGGCTGCAGGGCGGCTCGGCTGCTCGGGGGCTCGGCTGCTGGGCGGCTCGGCTGCTCGGCGGATGGGCGGCTCGGCTACTGGGCTGCTCGGCGGCTCGGGCGCAGGGCTGCTGAGCGGCGACGGGGCCGCGAAAGGGCGGCGACGGGGCCGCTGAAAGGGCGGCGACGGGCCGCTGAAAGGGCGGCGACGGGCCGCTAAAAGGGCGGCGACGGGGCCGCGGAAGGGCGTCGACGGGGCCGCGGAAGGGCGGCGACGGGGTCGCTGAAGGGCGGCGACGAGGCCGCGAAAGGGCGGCGACGGGGCCGCTGAAAGGGCGGCGACGGGGCCGCGGAAGGGAGGCGACGGGGCCGCTGAAGGGCGGCGACGTGGCCGCGGAAGGGCGGCGACGGGGCCGCTGAAGGGCGGCGACGGGGCCGCGAAAGGGCGGCGACGGGGCCGCTGAAAGGGTGGCGACGGGGCCGCGTAAGGGCGGCGACGGGGCCGCTGAAAGGGCGGGCGGCGACAGGGCCGTTGAAAGGGCGGCGACGGGGCCGCTGAAAGGGCGGGGACGGGGCCGCGAAAGGGCTGCGAAGGGGCCGCTAAAAGGGCGGGTGGCGACGGGGCCGCTGAAAGGGCGGCGACGGGGCCGTGGAAGGGCGGCGACGGGGCCGCGGAAGGGCGGCGACGGGGCCGCTGAAAGGGCGGCGACGGGGCCGCGGAAAGGGGCCGCGAGGGCGGTGCGAAGGGGGCCGCGAGGGCGGCGCGACGGGGCCGTGAGGACGGCGCGACGGGGCCACTACGGGCCGTGAGGGAGTCACACGGGGCGCGACTCGGGCAGGGGCCAAGCACGCTCTGGGCAGGAAAAAAAAGGTCGGTGGGCCCTAGGAACAGTTCCCACGGGGGAACCTGCTCTATACCATGTGAGAATTAGAACGAGAATGAATGCATTGAGGAGAATGAGGAGTACAAGTAGGCAAACCCTAAAGTGTTGTACCCCATATGAACTGCCCCACTACAGCCTACACAGACTATAGCATACATGCCTGACAATTATTGGGGACTAAACTTGTGATGTCCTCAGCATACCACCCACAGACTTACGGACAGATTGAGCGACTCAATCAAGTGGTTGAACAGTTACTGCGCACAGCTTGCAAAGACGACGTCAGCCACCGGGACACACAGTTACCGACCCTAGACTTCGCTTACAACAACGCGTCACATGCGTCCACAGGGAAAACTCCTTTCTTCCTGTGTTACGGACGGGAACCACTTGCACCACAGTAGCCAACCACACCGGCACACGTCCAAGCCGTACATGACTTCGTCACCACCATGCAGCATCTATGGGAGAAGACTTAGCAATGTCTCACCACGATGCAGAACTCCCAGAAGCAGTATGCCGATCGCCAGCGACGAGATCACTAAGTTGCAGTCAGGGATCAGGTGCTTCTTGACACACGCAACTTGAACCTGTCTCACCTCCCATCCAAACTCCGGCCTCGCTTCTGTGGTCCTTTTCTCGTTGAGGCACAGGTGACACCGGTTACATTCCGCTTGCGCTTACCAGACACGTGGAAGCTTCACAATGCTTTCCAAGGACCCCAACCAACAGTTCCAGGGACGGCAGCTACCGCCACCACCACCTGTTCTCATCCATGATGAACCAGAGTACGGAGTGGAGCGCGTTCTCACTCATCGGCATCGCGGCGGCAAGACCCTCGAGTTCCTGATACGCTGGAAAGGATACGACCCCACTGAGGACACTTTGGTTGCAGAAGCTGATATGGGCAACGCATGCCGTGCTCTTAATGACTATCTTGTCAAGTAGGGTGTTTCTCATGCCACCCAGCTTTGGGGGGGGACGTGTGAGAGTACGACGGCTTATGCTGGCTTTGCTAGCTTGCCTAGACTTTATTACGCTATATCTAGCTGTGAGAATTAGAACGAGAATGAAGAAGAGGAGGTGTTTCACTAGCAGCAATGAGGATACATATAACAAACCCTAGATGGGTTGTACTCGCTATAGAGCACCCCACTACAGGCTAGAGAATAACATTCTGACACACCCCCATAGCCAAAGTGGGGTGTAATCAGCGCAATGAGCAAGCAGGCATAGAGCAGGAGTTCACAATAGCGAGCAAAGCTGGAGTCATTCACAAAGAGCAAGTGAGGAGGAGGAGGCGAGACTGTAAGAGGAGAGGAGATAGGAGGCGACGGCTGAAGCTGCAGACACACGGGCAACAGGAGTCACACTGGCACAGCGGCTACCGGAACAACGCCCCGGACTACTGGAGTAACTGGCTCCGCGGCTAAGACTAGCGGCAGACGAGCAACGGACCCACGGGCGACTGGCACAGCTGGCTACGACTGGGCTACCGGAGCAACGCCCCGGACTACTGGTGCTGGTGACGACACAACGACAACCTCCGTTCAACTAACCTCCTCCAGCTGCCCCACACCACTCGACACACACCCCCTGCTCAAACCCTAGCTCCACTCCCATAGCACCCCCCTTACACCCCAAACCGCAGGCTCACACACATCCACCTCCCTCAAACCCTAGCTCCACTCCCACAGCACCCCCCTTAAACCCTAAACCCCAGGCTCCCACACATCCACCCCCCTCAGCGACAGCTGCAGCAGTGGGAGACGAAGGAGGAGGAGGAGCAGGGGAGACCACATACCCGCCACCCCCTACTCGCCACCCCAGACCCTAACACAGGGCAGGGCGGGACGGCGGGTAGGGAGGTTAGGGGGGGGAGGGCGATGCGCGGTCTCCATGGCGCCAAAACAGGCGGCAGAAGGGGCGATGCTCGCCCCCCTCCCCCAGGTCGCCCCTCGCCGCACGCGGCCCCCTCAGGTCGCCTCGACAGGCGACGGGAAAAGGGGGGGGGGGCGGTGCACGTGCCCCTGGTGCGCCGCGGTTGGCGACGGGGCATGGCCGGGGCGGGGCCGGGGCAGGGTCGAGGAGGGGCCGAAAGGGGCGGCGACGGGGCCGCAAGTGGCGGCGACGGGGCCGCTGGAGGCGGCAACGGGGCCGATTGGGGCGGTGACGGGGCCGCTAGGGTCGGCGACGGGGCCGCTGGCGGCGACGGGGCCGCTAGGGTCGGCGACGGGGCCGCTGGCGGCGACGGGGCCGCTAGGGTCGGCGACGGGGCCGCTAGGGTCGGCGACGGGGCCGCTGGCGGCGTCGACGGGGCCGACAGGGGCGGCGACGGGGCCGCGAAGGGGCCGCGAGGGGCCTGGAAGGACGGCGACGGGCCGCGAAAGGGGCGGCGACGGGGCCGCGAAGGGGCCGCGAGGGGCCTGGAAGGGCGGCAACGGGGCCGCGAAGGGGCCGCGAGGGGCCTGGTAGGGCGGCAACGGGGCCGCTAAGAGTAGCGCGAGGGGCAGTTGAGTAGCGCGAGGGGCGACGGGGCCACGGGGCGTGCCGAATACAGAGTAGCAGCGGAAGCAGTTGAGAAGGCCCACAAGCCAGGACCGTAGATGCTCTGATACCATGTGAGAATTAGAACGAGAATGAAGAAGAGGAGGTGTTTCACTAGCAACAATGAGGATACATATAGCAAACCCTAGATCGGTTGTACTCGCTGTAGAGCACCCCACTACAGGCTAGAGAATAACATTCTGACACTAGCTTGGATTTAATTTATCATGCATAGATATGCTTGATTTCCGGTTAGGTGCATTTCTATATTTTAGTTATACCATATCACCCTGGATATAAGCGCAGGCCTATGTTAAGCGCATACGCTTATATCTGGAGCAATGCGCTTATGCCCGATCCTCGATTATAAGTGCACCCCCTATAAAACCTTGACTTATTATAAGCGCATCAATAATTATATTATGAAATCATGATTCAAACAGTAACGAATTCCCTTTTTTCAGCGAGTCCAGATCCGTTCCTACTTTGTTTGACTCGCTCGAGGGCGAGCGATTCGCAGGAGAAGCGAAACGGCGCGAAGATGACTGACTGACAGCACATCGTTAGGAGGGGGGGGGGAGGGAAGATGGGCGCTGGAAACGACTGTCTTGTGCGTTGTGCGAGCGAAAAAGGGGCAAGCGGGGGGGCTCGGGAACGACTGTGCCTCTGCGCTGTGAGCAAGGGACTCCGTGCGACTGGCTCGTACATTGTTTCGGGGTGATAGTTATCATAATGCTGATCGCCACAGAGCGCACAAGTTAGCGAAAGGTAATGGACCATGAGCCTGTTCGCGTTGTCAACGGGGTCAACGATCGCGTGCAGCTAGCGGTGCTTATCACCAGGGTGAGCGTAGACCAGGCCTTTGACAGTATCCGTATCCGCGCCAGTGACAGGGTGCAGCACGTGGTGGAAGTTGGAGTTGCGCACGAAAGCCGTCCGCTTACGACTGGTGATCAGGTACGTAGACATCCTCCTTGTAATCATATCCAGCTCCACCGTAGTCGAGACCCCTTTGATGATCACTTCAATGGCTTCTGGGTGGAAAGCCTTCTCCCTCGCGTAAGCCACATCCTCCGTGTGTTGCCAGTGCAGGGTCACCAAATCTCCTATCAGCCGCTGATACATCACATCCTTGCGTTTCACCATGTCCGCATTGTCAGAACATTATAGCTTACTTATTTGTGTAGGCTATAGTGGGGTATCCCATAGGGGGTACAACCCAATTAGGGTTTCATATTTGTACTCACTTCATTCATAGTTGATTCATTCTCGTTCAGTTTTCCACATGGTATAGAGCAGGTTCCCCTGTGGGAACTGTGCCTAGGGCCCACCACTCGAAATCTTTTTTTTTTTTTTCCTGCCCGAAGCGCACTCATCCCGAGTCGCGCCTCGGGCCACTCCTTCCCCGAGCCGCCCTAGCGGCCGGCCTTACCCTCGCGGCCCCGCTACCCAGTGAACGCGGCCCCGCCGCCTCTTCTCTCGCGGCCCCGCCGCCTCTTCTCTCGCGGCCCCGCCGCCCAAGCGCTCGCGGCCCCCGCCGTCCCTGATCTCGCGGCCCCGCCGCCCAAGCGCTCCCGGCCCCGCCGCCCCTGATACGCGGCCCCGCCGCCCAAGCACTCGCGGCCCCCGCTGTCCCTGATCTCGCGGCCCCGCCGCCCCAACGCTCCTGGCCCCGCCGCCCCTGATACGCGGCCCCGCCGCCCCAGCGCCCGCGGCCCCGCCGTCCCTGATCTCACGGCCCCGCCGCCCCAGCGCTCACGGCCCCGCCGCCCCTGATCTCGCGGCCCCGCCGCCCCAGCGCTCCCGGCCCCGCCGCCCCTGTTGCGCGGCCCCGCCGCCCCAGCGCTCCTGGCCCCGCCGCCCCTGATACGCGGCCCCGCCGCCCCAGCGCCCGCGGCCCCGCCGTCCCTGATCTCACGGCCCCGCCGCCCCAGCGCTCACGGCCCCGCCGCCCCTGATCTCGCGGCCCCGCCGCCCCAGCGCTCCCGGCCCCGCCGCCCCTGTTATGCGGCCCCGCCGCCCCTGGTCTCGCGGCCCCGCCGCCCCAGCACTAACGGCCCCGCCGCCCCTTGCTCTCGCGCCGCCCGACTTCAGCAGCCGAGCCGCCCACCTGCAGCAGCCGAGCCGCCCGGAGCAGCCGAGCCGCCCAGGAGCCGCCGAGCCGCCCAGCAGCAGCCGAGCCGCCCGGGAGCCGAGCCGCCCAGCAGCCTAGCGGCAGTTTCGCCAGGCGACCTTCCTCCCGAGCCGCCCGACCTGCCCTGCCCGGTGAGCACTGCACTGCTGTCACTGCGTACCCTTCCCCTACTGCTTGCACTGCTCCACTGTCGTCGTCATGGCTACACCCAGTGTCCTCGCTTTTGACGCTGAGGGTCGAGCCATTGACTTTGAGGTCTGGCTCGACGACCTGCAGCTGTTTTTACAGTGCGACAGGGCCGACGGTCTGTCTCTCTTTGACCTCACCTCTGGCGCCGTCCCTGCCCCTGCTGCTGATGCTGACGCCACTGTTCGCTCTCAGTGGGCCACGCGCGATGCTGCTGCACGTCTTGCTGTGCGTCGCCACCTGCCTACCGCTGAGCGCGCGCACTTTAGCCAGTACAAGAGTGCTCAGACCTTGTACGACGCTGTAGTTGCGCGCTACTCCTCCCCTGCCACTGCTGCACTGAGCCGCCTCATGCTCCCCTTCCTCTTCCCTGACCTTGCCGCCTTTCCCACTGTCGCTGATCTCATCACGCACCTCCGCACTAGTGACACTCGCTACCGCGCTGCGCTTCCTGCTGACTTCTGCGCCAAGAACCCCCCCCCCATGTACATCACTCTCTACTTCTTAGTCACTCGCCTCCCTGACTCCCTTCGTGTAGTCCGGGACCACTTCCTCGCGGTCTGTCCCACCACCCTCACAGTCGACAGCCTCGAGAAGGCCCTCCTTGCTGCAGAGAAGAGCATAGTTGCTGTAGGAGCCTCTCGAGGTGACCCCCGCGCCCCCATCTTTGAGGGGTGTTCTCCTTCCCCTCTCCTGCCCTCTGTCGCCTCTGCCGCTGCGGCCGACCTCGTTGGTCTTGAGTCGGTCGGTGCGGCGTCTGCCCCTAGCGGGAGACGCCGCTCTGGCAAGGGCAAGGGGGGCAAGGGAGCGGGTGGGGCCAGTGGGGGCGGTGGCGGTGGAGGTGGAGGCGGCGGAGGGAGTGGGGGTGGCGGTGGAGGTGGTAGCGGGGGTGGGGGTGCTAGTGGCGGCAGTGGAGGCGGGAGTGGCGGCGGCGGTGGCGGTGGTAGCGGAGGTGGCGGAGGTGGCGGCGGTGGAGGTGGAGGCGGGGGCGGTGGAGGCGGAGGCGGGGGTGGCGGAGGTGGAGGTGGTCGGAGTGGAACTTCGCAGCGGAGCGGCACTGGTGTCGGTCAGCGCCAGCAGCAGCAGCAGCAGCAGCAGCAGCAGCAGCGTTCTCGCGACGTCCCCACCCCTCAGCAGCTCCGTGAGTGGTACACGCAGCGTCAGCACGGTGGGGGTTTTGGTCCCTGCACCTACGTTCTCCGCACTGGCGACCGCACTGGAGAGCAGTGTGGGGGTGCCCACTCCGCCCAGCGCTGCTTTGGCCGCCTGACGGACGCTTGGCGTCAGCAGTTCCCGGAGGCCGCGGAGATCCCCCGCTAGGGAGAGCTGTCTAGGGCTGGTGTAGCTATCTTTGATCTTGATTTTGATGCTATCCTTGCTGCCATGTATGCTGTGACCATTAGTGAGGAGGGTGACTGTTACCGGTGTTTCCCGCCCGACCCGGGCATTGGTACTGCTGCTCCAGGTACCGGTGAGGCTTTTGCTCTAGGTGCCAGTGCGTCTGTGCTCTCAGGTGCTCGTGAGACTGCTCTCTCAGGTACTAGTGCGTCTGCGCTCTCAGGTACTGCGTCGGCTTCGGCCTCCCACACCTTCACTCTTGACTCTGGAGCGTCTCGCTCTTTCTTTCGGGACCGCACCACACTTACGCCGCTTAGTCGGCCGGTTGCGGTTTCCCTGGTTGACCCCTCTGGGGGTCCTGTCCTGGCTCGCTTCTCCACGGTCCTCCCGTGTCCGGCGGCTCCCTCTGGCACCCTGTCTGGTCTCTACCTCCCCTCGTTCTCTACGAACTTGGTGAGTGGTGCTGACCTACAGGATGTGGGAGTCCACCAGTTCACCCCTGCTAGTCAGCGAGTGACGCACTGCACAGAGGCTAGCACGGGTGGTCACCTGGCTACGTTTACACGTCAGCCAGGGTCGAGCCTGTACACACTAACCACTGCTTCTCCTCCAGGTGCTGAGTCTGGTAGAGTCCCTTCGTCTGGTCAGGTGTTTGCTGCAGCGTCCAGGTCTGGTCCTGAGTCTGCCCCCTGTTCGTGTCGCCGTCTGTCTCACGAGACCCTCCTCTGGCACCACCGTCTTGGCCACCCCTCTCTGCTTCGGCTCAGAGGCATGGCCTCCCGTCTTCTTGTGTCTGGTCTCCCCCGGTCTCTACCTCCCCTTCCTCAGGGCCCTGGCCCTGCCTGTGTCCCCTGTGTCGAGGGGCGCCAGCGTGCTGCCCCTCACTCCTCCCAGTTTCCTCCGACAGAGGCTCCGTTGCAGACGCTTCACATGGACGTGTGGGGCCCTGCCCGCGTCCGTGGACTCGGTCACGAGCGCTACTTCCTGCTGGTGGTTGACGACTACTCGCGTTACACCACAGTCTTCCCCTTGCGCAGCAAGGGTGATGTCACTGAGGTGCTGATCGACTGGATCCGCGCAGCTCGTCTCCAGCTCAGGCAGAGCTTTGGCTCGGACTTTCCTGTGTTGCGTCTGCACTCGGACAGAGGCGGAGAGTTCTCCTCTGGCCTTCTGCGTGCCTACTGTCGTGCGCGAGGCATCCGCCAGACCTTCACGCTTCCGGACTCCCCGCAGCAAAATGGGATTGCAGAGCGCTGCATTGGCATGGTCATGGACGTCGCTCGTACGTCCATGATGCATGCGGCTGCCCCCCATTTTCTGTGGCCGTTTGCGGTCAGGTACGCAGCGCATCAGATCAACCTCCACCCCAGGGTCTCCAGGCCGGAGACCTCCCCAGCGCTGCTGTGGACGGGGAAGGTTGGCGATGCGTCGGCGTTCCGGGTCTGGGGATCTCGGGCGTTTGTCCGCGACTTGTCTGCGGACAAGCTGTCCCCTCGCGCTGCTCCCTGCGTCTTCCTGGGGTTCCCCCCCGACGCCCCTGGGTGGCAGTTCTACCACCCCACCTCTCGACGTGTTCTGTCCTCCCAGGACGTCACGTTCGACGAGTCGGTACCCTACTACCGCCTCTTCCCCTACCGCACTCCGTCCCTCCCCCCGCCCCCGCTCTTCTTGGTACCAGGTCCCCCCCCGGTAGACCCCCTCCCCCCTCAGGGTCCTGCCCCTTCAGGTGTGTCCCAGGTAGACGCGTTCGAGCCTGTCGAGGTCACTGGTGACTCTGGTGCTGCTGGGGAGCTGAGCCTGGGGGTGCTGAGACTGGAGGTGCTACGCCTGCGGGTGCTGAGCCTGGGGGTGCGGAGTCTGGAGGTGCTGAGCCTCAGGTTGCTGAGCCTGGGGGTGCTGAGCCTGGAGGTGCTGAGCCTGGGGGTGCTGAGCCTGAGCCTGGGGGTGCTGAGACTGGGGGTGCTCCGCCTGGAGGTGCTTCGTCTCGCCGAGAGCCACTCTCCCCTCAGGAGCTACGTGAGTGGTTTGCCAGGCGCTGGAGGCGTGCTGCTGGTGCTGGAGGTTCTTCGGCTGCAGAGGGTACTGCTGCCGAGCGTCCCGGCGGTGATCGTACTGTGGGTGCTGGAGCTGCTGGGTCTGAGGGTTCTCCTAGAGCTGGTGCTGCTGAGGGTGTTGACGCTGAGACTGCCGCTGGAGGTCCGACTGGTGGTGCTCCTGGTGGTGCTGCTGGAGGTTTTGGAGCTACTGGAGGTGCTGCTGGAGCGGGTACTCCTGCTGGGGGTACTGGTGCTGTCCCTGCTGTTTCTGGCGTCGCCGCGCGGCCCCGGCCGTACTTCGTTCCGCTCCTACAGCAGGTTCTTGGTCTTACACCTTCTCGTGGTCCTCCTCCTCCTCCCTTAGAGGGTCCACAGCCTGTCTCGTCACAGTCACAGCTACAGCCTGCCTCACCTTTGCCTGCTCCTTCTCCCTACGCTGGTCCGACTGGAGG